TTATATGAACTCTAAGTTAAAAAAAAAAAGATTACTAAATTTGTGTATAAATTGCTATAAGGTAACTGTCAATTTAAGTAAAATTCCTAATTTGCTTGTTACTCTAAGACATATCTGTAATGTTAAGGTTAGCAAATCCTTTCATATGGGTGTGTATAAATAAATAACTGGGGGAGAGGTTAGCATATTAATTAAAGTTCTATATTTATAATTATGCTACCAAAGCTAATCACCAAGGAAAAACTAAGTGCTCTAGTGGGAATTCCAAATCACATTAAGTACGGTGCCAGGGGCTTTAATTAAAGCTCAACATCTCATCTTAATAACTAGCTTTGATGATTAGGCATGAATGGAGGTCTAGCTTATTGATCTGGAGGTTTAATGGACACCATCCTTTACTGAGCCAAGAAGACAGCAACATTTCCAGCTGGTTACACTGCCCAAATCACAAGCTATCAATATGTACATCTACAGTGAGGAGAGGCAAATCCTACCAACCCTTTGTCTATATGACAGCTCTCCATTATGATGATACTTAGCTCTAAGGAGCAAGAATGGCTGGAGAGTGTAGTGAAATACAAAGTAAGTAATGAGAAAAATACAGGTGCTAGAGAGAAAAATGAAAATAAGTAAATTGTTTCAAAGCTAGGACCTACAAGAAACATTTCAAGGCAGAGTCATTGCAGAGGCACAGGTCATCTCTAATGCTGACTGACAGCTGACCAGAATGAGCAGCCCAGGAGCACTGTCGTTGTTGTCACTGCCTCCAGAGAACTGAGCCCTTGGTCTTCGGCATGCTAAGCAAGTGCTCAACCACCAGCCACACCCCCAGCTGGGACCCAATTCTCTAATGAGGCTTTTATGATAACATCATCACTACAGACAAAAATGTGCAATTTCAGAAAGCAATCTGACTGGTACAGTGACAATCTGAAAAGAATTTCTCATTTTCTCCATTATTTCTTTAATCAGACTATTTCAGAGGGAAGCATATCTGAGGAGGAAACTGCTCTGTGTCAGTCTCAGCACCACACACTCTATGGGAAATGGAAGGGTTAACTTGACAAATCTATGGCCACTTAAGGAGAAGGAGGATTTATCTTTCAAAATGAAATGCCCGAAAGATATAAAGCAAGAAGCTTGCATTCATGATAGTGAGCAGGGCATAAAACAAAGCAACATTATCCTACAGGGACCAGAAATGAAGACACTACAGAATTTTTAAAGGGAAACACACAAAATCACAGGGTAGTGAGGAGAGGGAGAGAGTACCATTTCCTACGAGAGAAACTGAAAGAATTTCCAGGGATAAAATTTCTTCCCATTTAAGCTCTAAGTTGAATATAATTCAAATAGAAATCTAAAAGGAGTTTTAGAGGTATATTAAGAAAGAGTTAACAAAGATATTCTAAACTTTCCTACTAGAAAACCACAAAATGGTCTCTGCCTCTTGTATGTATGTGCTATAGAAACAAAGAATTGTGTTAGGTTCCACCTCTGAGTCTCATCTAAGTTAAGGGTGTCACTCTGGGACAGGGCAGAGAAGCTGAAGGAGAAAACGAGCACAAAGAGCAGAAAGTGACTTCCATACAGGACATGCTCAAAAACACCCTCTTCTTCAGAGCTGAGGCCACACAGTTACCATGCAAAATGAGCATTTTCACACAAATAAAAATGAGCCTTCAAAAAATGCTTTAAGTTATGCATGCAGGAGCCTGCAGAGGCCATGGGAGGGCATATGATCCCCTGAAGCTGAAGTTATAGGCAGTTGTGAGCCACAATAGGGGTGCTGGGAACTGAACCCTGGTCTTAATCACTGAGCCATCTCTCCAGCCTTGAAATACTTTTTTTTTTTTTTTGGTTTTTTGAGACAGGGTTTCTCTGTGTGGCTTTGGAGCCTATCCTGGCACTTGCTCTGGAGACCAGGCTGGCCTCGAACTCACAGAGATCCACCTGCCTCTGCCTCCCGAGTGCTGGGATTAAAAGCATGCGCCACCAATGCCCGGCTGAAATACTTCTAATTGAGCCAAAATCACTAGAAATAGAGCCCTCAGAGGCCCCAAAGCTAAGAATGGATTTCTGATTGCATTTTGTCTCCAGCTAAAACTGGAACAGAATACAATGCTATATAAAGAATCTGTCATTTAACAGGGAAGCTACTTCTAGTTAGTGATAATACCACAAGCTAGTGAAGGTATGAAGATACCTAGCTAAATATCTGGAGGGAAATTAAACCATGATCCCAAACTCACACTAGCATTTGAAGTCAAACTGGAGAAATTCGTTAATCTATCGCCAGCTAAGAATGGTCAGGGTCTGCCTGACCAAAAGCAGCATCTTGTGTGCCAGCCTCATCCACACAGCTAAAGATCACCCACAGCTTCCACTGAATTTGGGGTGAAGAAGGAAAACCAGTGAGGTGCAGCCTTAGTTATACAAATTAAATTACTCTCAGAACCACAAAAGCTGTAAGACTAGGGTCCTATTCAGAGTGCCCTGATCTCAGGGAGAGGCATATTGGATGGGGCTGTGCAGGACTCAACAATGGGTGTATGGTTGTTTCCAGTTTCCATGACAGTTAATCAATCCCCTTAGGTTAACCCACCACAATTCTTATCTATGGACACCAGGAAAGGCTAATGGTATAAAATGCTATGATAACTATTCTTATGTAATGAAATTAGGTGTTTTTTTTTCTAGCTTCTATGTTTTATATTGGCCATGCATTTCATTTTTCCAAAGAAGATAAAAATTACAGCTGAGTATTTGTGGTACACGCCTGTCATCCCAGCATGAGGGAGGCTGAGTCAGTAGGATGACCACAGTTTAAGGCCAGCTTGAACTACACAGCAAAATCTTACCTCAAAAGCTAAATATAAAACCAAGAACTTAGTCAAAAAAAGAAGAAGAAAAAAATCTCCATTCAAGGTAACTTAGACTAACATACAAGTGTTTTCATCTCATCAGATGAATCTGCCAAGTTTCTGGCAATAAAAGAATCCACAGTAGGGAAGAAAGTAACTTACTTTGTATTGTTAAAGTTAAGGAAATTATTTTAAAAGGTTGGAAATAAACAGTGAGAACATATGCCAGTCACTGTGTGAGATGATTCATGCAAAACCATTCTGAACACACAGAACTTACCCTAATACATTGAAAATGTCAAAACCTACAATGTGGTAAAAATGATATTTTCCTTGTCAAAGAATTTCTTCAGTTGCTGCAAATTAGTCATCACTCACGAACCTAGTGTCAAAAGCAAGATGACCAAGTGTTTTTGCAAAGCAAAAGAACTCACTGACAACTGAAGGTATGTATTTATAAAACTCACAGTGACACAAAAATACCAAACAATGAAAGCAACAGGGTACAAAAAACTTAAATTACAAAATAACGGATAAGTGATTAAAGTAGAGCATTCAGTATGAAGTGTTACTTAGGAAAGTATACACAGTGAAACCTGGAAGAACAGGGACACAGTTCCCACCAGTTTTATGAGTGCATTCAGCAAGAGTGGCAAGACGTCACACCTGTATCAGGAAAGTGGAACAGTACTGGATGCCAAAGTCTACTTTTCCAAAAAGACAACAATAAACACTGTCAAGTGCATCAAACATCTCTTCAGGCTAGGAAACTAAAAACTAGCAGTTCCGATGAGAACATTCAGTCAAGAAAACCCAGAGAATTTCATAAAAATAACCCATTCTGTGGTACTGTAAAGGTCAGATTCTCTGTTCTCCAACTTTATGGCAGCCCTGGAAATAAGCCCTGCACTGGTGCCAGGGGAGCAGAATAGGCCTCATGCTCACAAAACTGTAATTTGCTGGGATGTCTCATGACTCGTAGGAAGACTACATCCAAAGATCTGTGTTAGCCAGGTGTGGGGGTTCATGCCTATAATCCCAGACCTCAAAGAGGCTGAAGTACAATGATTACTGGTTCAAGGACAGCTTGAGCTCACAGTGAGGCCTTCTCAAGCAAAGACATTTTAATCGTGTTTCACAGTGGTAAGACAGTTATGGCAGTGATATGCCTGTTATCTAAGTACACAAAAGGACAGGCCAGCCTGGGCTATCTTATCTCAAAAAAGCAGAACTGTAACTGTTTATCCCGTTTTTTGGAAAGACTATAGCTAACAGCCACACCCTTAGTCACTGTGAGCTCACTGGGAACAGCTACCCAACGACATATTACATGATTTGGAAATTTGTTATATTTTTGCTTTATGCTTATGCATGTTTGGCCTGCGTGTGCCCACAGAATCCAGAAGAAGCATCGGATCCCCTGAACTGGAGTTACAGTGAGTCACCCTGTGAGTGCTGGGAACTGATCCTGGGTCCTCTGCAGGAGCACCTAGAATTCTTAACTGTTGAGCAATCTCTCCAGTCCCATTTTGAAAGTCTTCCTCCCTGGAATCACTAAACGCTGCATATCGGTAATGGCTGCTGACAGTGGAGAGTATGGAAGAGTCAGTCCTATGGTGAAAGCTGAGTTTATCTCCAGATACTCACTAAGGAGCCCAGCTTATGCCAACTGGCAGGATGTTGTGACTTAGGAAAGTGGTCTGAATGGGTACCTACTGCTTCCTAAATAACATTCCACTGAAACCTCAGGATGGCCAGAGGGAGAACTGGTGCCTGGAACTGGCCACGGACTAGAAGAACCAGCATCTTTAGAAAGTACTGGTTATCAAATTAACCTAATAAAAAGATAAGCTACTAAGGTCCATTCCCCCAGAGTAGAAAGGTCAACACTATTCAGATGTCGAACATGCCAAAACAGCAATAAAATACTTTCAAAAGGCTTCATGTTTCAACAATACCACACACAGAATCTGATATAGCACAAAAAAGTAGACATTAAAATATTTTCCAAGAAAAGATTACTGTTTAAAGATACCATATCTGGTAAGATCTCCTTTTACCAAATCTGGTAAATAGCAGCAGTGTTTGTTCATAGCCAACTGATCCCAAGACAGAAGAACACTAAAAGGCATTTACCTCTTCTAGGCTGGGGAGCGAAGAGGAAGACACTGTGCGAGATGACAGTGGGTGAAATGGCTCTTGACCAATGGCATGTTGATGGTTCTGTATGTGTAGAAAAGGGTTCTGCGGTGGCCTGGGAGGCAATGGAGGTAGGCCATAGGGAAAGCCTGGCCCTATTAAGTGATTCTGTTGCAAGTTAGCAAAATTCCATGCTCCATCGGGAGCCAGGTATTTCAGGGGAGGTGGGGCAAGGTGTTCAGATGGCAACGAAAAGGGGGAGCCAAATAGCTGAGGTGGGAGGCGCTGTGGGAATGCTGGGCTGTTGGCTACTTCAATGTCTCTGCTGTTGTCATTAAAGTTAGAAAAGTGGCTACTGTGGTCTGTGCTGGAAGGGGGAGACGGGACTGCTGGTGGGCTTCTAGTCTGAACTTGTCTGTATTGCAAAAGTCTTGATTGAGGTGGTGGCATTTCAGCTAGTTCTCGAGTGTCACCTTGATCACGATGAGACAGCTCTCTGAGTAAGTCTTGAAACCTACACAAAAACAAGAAAAAATGAGGAAGAAACAAAGGAGAGGCCCCACTGCATTAAGAAGAGCAGAGTCAACAACATGTATGATTTCTGCAACCCAAATCAAAATACCTAATTAGGGTTGGAATTAATTAATCCAAAACTAAGTATCGACATCCAACAGGTACTGAACTGGAGATGCTCAGTAAAGCTGTCAATTACCTAACTGTTTTTTACCTTTGCATGAAAGGGTCCATCCTTGCCTCAACATGAAAACTGGAAGTGATAGAAGGCCACCACGGGCCAGGGAGATAGCTCAGCAGGTCTAGATGCTGGCCACCAAATCTGACAATCCAAGTTAATCCCTGGAAGACACATGATAGAAGAACCAACTCCCCATGGGCTGTCCTCTGACCCCCAAATTCATACATACACATCCATACCATACCCATACACACCCATACATACCTGTACACCCGGAAATAAAAATAAATACCTAAGAGGTTGGAGAGATGGCTCACCAGTTAAGAACACATGTGCTCTTACAGAGACCCCAAGTTCAGGCCTCAGCACCCATGTGGTGGCTCACAATCCCCTGTAGCTCCAGTTCTAGAGGAGCCAATGCCCTCTTCTGGCTTCTTCAGGCACCAGACAAGCACACGACACACATATCATACATGCATGCAAAATACACATGAAATACACGGGAAATAAACAAATCAACCAACTTAAAAAAGGGTTGTATATTTTAAAAATACAAATAAATGCTAGAAGGAGGAAGGGGGGGAGAGTTAGTTTAAGGCCCATAGCAACAGAGGGTGTTTTCCAGAGAGGATGAAGAAGCAGTTCACAGCCATCGCATGATGCTGAGTGCAAATACACTCAGGAGTGACTCCTCAGAGCTCACAGCTCTGAAGTTGGACATCCACCCTACTAGATAAAAAATAAGTTTTAGCCACAAGTTTACTTCTGTCCTCATTATTCTTTTATTTACTAAGTAAACAAACAAACACGACACACAGTGGCGGTGATGGCTTGTTTGTTTTGATAGCAGACTATAAAGCAAGGAGCTAAAGTTGTAGATTACTAGCCCAGATTTGTACAAGAGTGACATCTAAATTCTCTGTACTTTAGAATCAACTGAGAGAACTTTGTAGGATCCACCAACAAAGCCAACAGCAGATTTCCTTGAGACAATGTTCCAATTTAAAATTCAAGGGCAAGGGTGAGGTAGGAAACTTGGGGCTGTCCAGGGCTGGCCCTGGACTGCTGGGATACCTGGAGAACGTTGTCTCTGCGTCGTCGTCAACTCTGCTGGCGAGTTTCCACTCTGCCCTCCCTGGCGGCTGGGGGAGGCCCATGGCCGGCTGGGGAAGATGCGGGAGGTGAGGGTGGTGATGGTGTGGGTATGGGATGCTGCCCTGGCTGAGATAGGCGCGGTGCTCGCTCCAGTGCTGTAGCCGTGCCTGCTGCTGCCTCAATGTCTCCAGAGCTACGCCTCCATGTACTCCATCTGCAGAAGCAGGGACAAAAAGTTGTTTCTGTCCATTGGGGGCCAAGTTGACGATGTGCGAAGACCCTATCTATGCACCCGATCCTTCCTCACAAAGACAAACAAAGAGCTACAATTCCATTGGGCAAAAGTAATAGCCTAGATTTTCCAGAGCCCAGAGCTATGGTATTGACTCTCTCCCTCACGATGGTGTAAACGCTATCACCTGGATAATTATTATACACATATGTACACACAACACTTGAAGCCAGATTATATTTACTAACTGGTTGGACTTTCTGGCATTATTTGGAGACATGAATCAATCTTGGCCTACAGTAATACTGTACAGGACATGCTATGTTCAGCAAATAACCTGGGGACTCTTCACATGTGACATCGTGACAGGCAAGCTTACCCAAAGCTTCTCCTACAGGCAATCCTGGGGAGCTCTCATCAACAAAGTTGTTCAGAGGTGAAGCCAGGATGGGAGCAGGCTGTGTGATGGCTCTCAGTGGACTGTGACCGTCAGGAAGCACGGGCGTTGGCTGCTGCTCGGGAACCACAGCCTCTGCAGCAGGAGACTGTGGTCGGTGAGCAACTGCATTATTGAAAAGTGCATTGGTGGGCCCCGCCTGAAATGCAGGAGAGAGTTGAGGCGATGGCTGCGGGGCCTGTGGAGGTACCTGGCTTTGCTGCTGGACCACCTGATTTGGCTGGGGTGCCACATGATTTGGCTGGGGTGCCACCTGATTTGGCTGGGGTGCCACCTGATTTGGTTGTTCAGGCAAATTATTCTGCTGCTGGTTTAACAAGGTGTGCTGCTGGGGAATGGGAAATGGTGGCCTGGGTAGCTGAGGAAGAGGGTGAAAATGGCGGCTAGGGATTGCATACTGTGCGTGTGGAGCAGGAAGAGGGAGATTTATGTGTCTTGGGTTGAGATTATCTTTTCGAGGAAATTTGGAATTGGAATAAACAATGCTGGGACGGGATTCAGGACTTCTGTTCTGTGGATTTGATTCCAAATCAACCTAGAGGAGAAGAAAGAAAGAAACAAAGAAAGAAAGAAAGAAAGAAAGAAAGAAAGAAAGAAAGAAAGAAAGAAAGATTTTTAATTGCAAAAAACCCTGAGTTGGAGGTTTTTCATCCTTTCCCAACCATACCCCACTTAATGGCTATAACATGCTCTTCTCAGTAGCAGTGGGAATGCCGAGGTACAGATTCAGTCACCCTGACGATCAAATAAGGGCATACTCTATAAATTAAAGAAGATGACAAGGAAACAGCATATTAAAATGAGTCTGAAGAAAAGCTGCTGTTGTTTTATTAGAATGGCCACTCTAATTCCTGCTACACTATTTTCAATTTCATACTTTCTTCCTTAGAAAGAGAACCATTCATTTCCTTCAGATATAAATCAACAAAATGTGCTCTTTCCCTCTGATTTGATTGTTTTTATACTAATCTACTTCTCCAAACAAATCAACATTAAGAAAAACTGTGTTTCTGACAACTTTCAAATAAACAGACACCGTGTCACCTTTGTAGAACCAGTATGGCTGCTGACTTTGGTCATTACATAGTCTGACATTCTTTCTCTGAGCCATTGTGGGGGGCTTACTACAGTGCACTGTGTCTGATTCTGAAAATTAAAAGGCAACAGTAAGATTCAGGACACACCGTTGAGAGCTTAGAGCAGGAGCTACACTCAGCCCAGCCACTCTAGCCCCAGTGCCCTGAACTTGTGCAGTAAATAAGGTCTTCTGGGACAGCAGATGTTCAATCGTTTACATATTGCCCATGGCTCCTTTCGAACTACAGTGGCAGAGCTAAACAGATGCAACACACACTGTACGAACACGAAGCCTGAGACTTATTGTCTAGCCCATTACAAAATCAGCTTGCCAATCCCTGGTATGGAGTCCAGCAGAGGCTCTGTGTAAACACATCGGGAAAGGGGTCGGATGAGGGCTAAAAAAAAGTAAAGAAGGCTTCAGAAAAGCCAGGGCATCTGAGCTGAGTATTCCAAAACAAGCGGGGGTGCACCAGGGAGAGAAGACTGTTCTAACAAACAGAGGGTGGGAGCAGCACGCCAGATGTGGGGTACATGTGTTCTGTTCATAGGACTTTGCTTCTTTACATGTTAGCTTCTCCTTCTTGATGTCAATCACCCAAACCCTGACTGACTCAGTGCAACACATCAACTTGGTGCCATTAAGCTTTGGAGAACCACAGGAGAAGGGTTTGAAGTTGAAAAGCCTGGTTATCCTGAAATGCAACTTTGACTGAAAATGTTGATAGCATGAAAAACATGAAGAGTATGTAAAGTGACACTTTTTTCTTTCCCCGATGTTAAGCTACTCCACAAACGGTTATGTATCACATTGTAAGTTTCAGGACTGAAATGGTCGGTGAGAACCAGGGTTCTACTTATTTAGCCAAAGCCTGTAAAGCTAGACAGAGTGCTGATCACTCCCCAAGAACACAGACGTGGAACTTGGTTCCTGATCTGAGCTGGGAATACTGAACAAGCCGTTGCAATGCCAATCATACACCAAGGGCAGGCACCTCTCTCACCACTTGGTCCTTCAGGTCCTTGAGATTGCTGGGTGTATACAAGTGATCAGAAAATGAAGTGTTCTGGTCTTCCTAAGCAGTTGCTGTACCTGTTGTTCATATCTCAGAACCTAACCAAGGTTCCTCAGAAACAAACATTTCCTCATACAACTCATACCTTCTGGGCGTTGGTGGCACACGCCTTTAATCACAGCACTCGAGAGGCAGAGGCAGGTGGATGGATGTCTGTGAGGCCAGCCTGGTCTACAAGAGCGAGTTCCAGGATAGGCTCTAAAGCTACACAGAGAAACCGTCTCCAAAAAAAAAAAAACTCATGACCTTGTGGAAGATGAAGCTATGTTAGCCAGGGACAAAACTCTCTCCAAAAGACACTGCTGATGGGCACACTCTGACAACACACACAAGGATATGGTAACGCGTCATGGTTGTTCGTGGCTAAGTTGCTGTTCTAATTTATTCCATCACTTGTGACTTTGACACAGACAGGAAGCTCAAGACCACAATACTCTGATCTTGAAATGAGAAGGAGCTGCAGAGAAAGTGAATGTGTGTGTGTTTGAGAAGGGTGTGGAGGGAGAATAAACAGCCCTATAGGACACGTCAGTGGAAGCGGTGGCAGATGTAGATGGAGGCAGCTTAGTTCTAGGTGCTATCAAAATTAGAATCAAGATAGCTTCTGTTAGAAAACAAGGCTACCTGGGAGCCATGTTTCGGTGTCTTTACATCCTGATGCTTTACTTTGGGGCCCAGGAAACATAAAAAAGAAGACCAAGCTCTGTTTAATTCAGTGCCTTGCTATTAAGAGGTATATGACAGGAAGGAGCCAGCTGAGTGACAGGGGCAGATGGGGCTGCTCAGACCCTATTACTAGGTACACTTTCTCTGCAGCACCCTTCTGACTCAATCAGGAAGTTTCCTGGCTGCCTCACTGACACCACAGCTCCTCCTATGATATGCCCTCCATCCCTGGCCTCTGTCAGTCAGAGAAGCTCCTGGGATACTTGAAAGTGAAGACAGAGAACAGCTACTTAGACAGAGGTTGGAGATCCAAATTGGAAGTCTTTTCTCATGAAGTGGGCACTTAGATACAACTTAGACTTCAAAGAGAAGTGGGGCCACACAGAACTCTGGGAAATCACAACATGAGGAAAGAGAGAAAAAGGGAAGTATTTTTTTAAAAGCCAGAAGGTCCTATAACAGAGAGTTGTATGAAAAGAAATGTTGTGTTAAAGAAAATAACAGAAGTAAGACAACCAAAGAAACATGAGACAGTGCATGGAGCTCGCAGCCGTAGTGAGATGCTGGAACTAGTCCTAGACAGTGTGGATTAAGACAAGGTACCAGGAGATGAAGGTCTTTACTCTTTTACTGTGGTTGTATGGTACTAGGCACTGAACCCAGAGTCTTGTGCATGCTTGGCAGACACTACCACTGAGCTACAACCCAGCCAGTGTTCACAGATAAAGCTAGAATATGAGTAACTGCACAGCCAGCAGAGTGGGAAGAGTCGGTGGGTGGGAATAGTCTACACAATGGAAAAGACTGATAACTCAAGAGTCAGTGAGGTGACTGGACAAGGACAGGAGACAGTAAACTCAAGAGGACTTCATCTAAGGCTGGTGATAAGAAAGTAAAGAGGCTCAAGCATACATAAAAAAAGAGTTATTTATTGCCATCAATTGGCAGGGCACCATCTAGATGGTGGTACTTCTAAAGCGGTCATCTCCACATCGTGAGGTAACAGGCTTGAGAAGAGCCACCAAGGAACCAGGACAAAGGAACTAAGCACTGCACAAGAAAGGAGGGAGCTGGGTCTCACTGAAATGAAAACACATAGCTTCCAGCCACACTAATTCTACCAACAATGTGGTCTTGTCTAACATGCTCCAGCACAAAGCAGGAAGAATGGGCAGACACAAAGTTAAGGATCTGTACAGTGGGTATGGAGACAAGGCCAAGAACTGAGAGAGTCACTGCCACAGTCCTTCCCAGGCTAAAGCGACTGTCAACGAGACATCCATAGCTCTGTCTTCATACCATATTTTATCACAAGGAATCTAAAAATCTGAGTCTATTGCTGAATTAAGAAAATCTGAGGAAGGGGGCCAGAGAGACAGTTCAGCAATTAAGAGCTCTTGTTACTCTTGCAGATGACCCAGGTTCAATTCCCAGCATCCACATGGTGGTTAACAACCATCTCTAACTCCAGTATCAGGAGCTCTGATGGCCTCATCCAACCTTCATGGACATGGTTTTTGGAAGCAGGGTTTCTCTGTGTAGCTCTGGCCTCAAACTCACAGAGATCCACCTGTCTCTGCCTCCCGAGCTGGGATCAAAAGCATGCACCACCACCACCCTTCTGAAATTTGAATTTTTTTTTTTTAAGAAAATCTGAGGAAATACATACATGCAAAAGAAACAACTTAATGAAAGACAATGGGCCAGGAGAAAGGTGACACGCCCTACTAAACTATTCTGAAACAATAAGCAGGAGATGCTTTGGGACAATCCCTGCCAGAACTACACATCGAATTAATGCGAGCAGCTTACCTGTTTGGGCTCTGTAGGCCTTTTCTCTGGTGTTCGGATCTTATTAATTTCAGGACCGGGGTTATTTGTATCAGTTTTACCTAAGAAAATATTTTTTAAATTCTTGTAAGTTATCTCCAGTGAACATAACATTTCCAGTGACTATTCAACACTAAACAATGCAGAATAGTTTAACATTATTTACTCATTCTTATCAATTTATACGACCATGTGAGTTCTAGTCCTCTGTTTTCAGAACTGCAGTTTCTCTGCAAAAAAGAAAGTTATAAATAAAAAATGGCAGGGCAAAAGCTTCACAAAGGAGAAACAACCTGAAAAAAGCAAATAAAAAAGAAAACAGTCTACTTTCCGGGAATTTACAGTCTCTCTTTTTATAAATTAGACATATAAAAGGTCTTGGTATCCCTGCTTGCTTACAAAGGCTCAACACTTTGTTCACTTGCAAATGCAATTAAGTAAAAATCTAAACCATGAATCAATCCAACTTACCACAGGGATCTAAACTCACTGTTAGGGTTTGCATCTAAAAGCTCCCTGAAAGCCACATGTGAAACAGCTTGTCCTCCAGCCTGCATGCTACAGGGAAGAGCAAACCTTAGAATGTGTAGACTAGAGGATAGACATGGGCACTGGGACTCCAACCCCTTTCTCTTTGGCTTTTTGCTTCCCTACTCCCATGAACCAAACACAACTCCTCCACCACACAAGCTATCATAATGTACTATGAGGCCACAGGCCCACAACAATGGGACAAAGCAAGGACGGGCCAAATCCATCAAAACAAGGAGCCAAAATACACCTTTCTCTCTTATAAATTGTTAAACTCAGCTATTCTATCAGAGTGACAGAAGTTATAGTGTACAAACATTTTGAACATTAGTAGGTGATGGATTACACAGGAAGCAAAGTTAAGGTTTCTCAACACACAATTAGAGTAAAGTATCCTAACTTACAAGTGTGAAGAGTTCTGGTCTGAAAGAATTAAGCCTAAGCTGGGTGTTTTCTAGAAATGCCCAGGCAGCAGCACTAGAATTCAGTAAATGAACTGTCATATCAGCGCTGCTGATTTTACCACATGAGAACTGTAATGTCCAGGGCTAAAAACCAACAGACAGCCAGAAGATGAGACAGTGCATAAGAAAATGAGGCAAGCTAAAGAGTAAAGCAACAGAAATGACCAAAACCAAAACACAGAGAAAAAACCTTGAAAAGAACCAACAAAGGAATAGTCATGAGCTTTGGGGACTGTTAAGCATCTGAATGTATGGGTAAATGGGAACACAGAGAAGAGTGCAGGAAGTCAGAAAGAATACCTGCTGATATCAAGCTCCAAAACCTCCAAACACTGTAACTATAAAAAGACCCAACATGCACACACCAAAAAAGCAAACAGAAATTTACCCGAAGGCTAAGACCAGTATAAAATAACAACTTTAAAGCAGACAGAGAAAGCACACTATATGGCATAGATATGGAAGATAAAGCTAATGAAGGCCACACACACTCCCTTCCTGAGACTCCCAGCAAGCAGAGATGCACCCTAACTAACCCACCTTAACTCTCTTACTCTTTAAAAAGATACTTGCCTGTTTGAACAAAAATTACCTGAAATGTTTTTAAATAAACCTACATAAAGGTGGTGTAAACCTTTAATCCCAGCACTCTGGGGGCAAATGTCGGTGGATCTCTGAGTTCGAGGCCACCTGGTCTACACAGCAAGTTCCAAGACAGCCAAAGCTGCACAAATAAACTCTGTCTCAAAAAACTTAAAATAAAAAAGTAAATGCATGACCATCAAAGCCCAGAGAGAAGATTCTGAACTTCTGTAAGTTCTTTCACTGTGCATGAGGTGTGCAATGTAAGTTGGAAGGTATGCTACAGAAGTTAAAGATATATAGTCCCAATGAAGATATATACTAGCCCCAATACAACTAAAATACTATTAACTATGTTATAAGTAATAAACCAACAAACATCAAGCTCACAGAACCCAATATTTAAAAAAAAAAAATTCATTTCAGTGTGGAGATGTACACCTTTAAATCCAACACCCAGGAGGAAGAGGCAGGCATATTTTTATGAGTCTGAGGTAGCCTGGTCTATGTAGAGTTCCAGGCCAGGCAGCACAGAGAGAAAAGAGAACTAATTATAAACTATTCTAAAGCAACACTCTTTGTTGCTTCCTTTGGGTGGTGCTGCAGGTAAAATGTAAACGAAATACGCATTTACCACTGCACTATAGTCCCACCCTCAGAAACGTACCTTAAAGATACAAACAGATTAAAAGCAAACAGTCAAAACCAAATAAGCACTGCTGTTATTAGTCAAAAGAAAACCTAAGAGCTACACAGATGTTGACCAAAGTGGACCTCAGAGCCAAGAACATCACCAGGTATAGTCATTCTGTAACATTAAAGAGTCACTAGAGAACATAGTCTTCAATGTTTGTTTCCTAACAACAGACCCCTAAAATTCACTGAGAACTGATAGAACATAAAGAAATCCTAGACAAGCCTGGCATAGGAGCATATACCTGTCTTTCCAGGTCTTAGGGGAGGTAAGGAAGAAACAGTAGAAGTTCAAGGTCACCCCAGGCTACATAAGCAGTCCAAAGCCAGCCTAGCTGAGCCTTGGTTTCAAAAAATAGACAAATAGTTTCCAGAGACTAATTCCTCTCTTCAGTAAGTGGCAGAAAAGACAGGCAGAAAGTCAGGAAGGACACACACCTGAGCAGCTAACCCTGAGCTGCCAGTGCTTCAGGGTACACACAGAGTATTGAACATTGCGAGGCAGACCACAAATCCCAATGAATTCAACAGGATTCATGCCATATAAAACATGCTCTCTCACCATGATGGAACCAGTAACAGAAAACATTTTAGAAAATTACTAATAATCAGAAACTGAAACTCACCATTCTAAATAATTCATGGATATAATCTTTTTGGGTTTTTTTTGAAACAGTGTCTCACTACATTGTAGCTCAGGTTAGACTATAGCCCAGGTTACCTTAAATTTCACAAACCTCTTGCCACAGTTTTCTCAATGCTGAGATTACAGGCAAGCACCACCCAACCCAGTCTATGAGTCTATTTTAATGTCAAGAGAAATTTTAAAAGTATTTTCAAAAGTTTATTATTGAACTAAATAAAAATGCAAAAATAACATATCAGAATCTGTGGAAAGTATTAATGAGGAAGACATTACACTAAACAGCCTTTTTAATCAAGCTTTATACTTAAACTGCTTTTAAAATGTTGAAAGAATTAAGACCTAAAAAGGTAGGGACACATACTCTGTCTATAGACCACAGACTTAATTTGTTAAGTTCCCAATTATTCCATAACTGACCTAAAGACTTAATGTAATCCCAATCAAAAGTCCAGCTAGCTTTCAGGTTTGTGTTTGTTTTTAAAATGACAGCTGATTCTGAACTGTTTATGGAACTGGAAAGGAATGGAGTGAGAGCACTAGACTGCCTGTTTTCCTAAGCAGCATGCACAAAGCTATAGTACTCAGGCTGGCATATCTAGCATGAACACAAACATACACCAATAAAAAAGAACAGAATCCAAGTGCAGTGGGCTGATTTTAGCATGTGCTTCGAGGAAGCCCACTGACAGGAGAACAGAGCTTTCTACAGATGATCTTGGAGTAAATGACCATAGACATGCTAAACCAATACAATACAACCACCAATGTATCCATCCTTACCTCACAGCACACACAAAGCTAACTCAAGGACCCAGTGTGAGAGTTGAAGTTGACGAGACAAGATTTCTAAAGGGTTCCACCTACTGTTTCGATTTTGCTCCTGCTGATCCTTCTCTGTGTGCTGATTCTGTGGCTGCCCAATGTTGACAGGTGGATGGTGTCCAAGGCCATAAGGGATCGGTGACCCACGTCCATGTGTATGTAACAGGTTCATATTGTAGGCCATCGCTGCTGGGTGTGTAATAATCCGAGGATCGACTGCAAACCTACCCTGGTACCCTGTCCATGGTACCTAAATTATTATAAGAAATAAAGTAATTGAACTGCGTATATTTCTGAACACAAACTTATATAATGTTGTTGATTAGCAAAAAACAAACACACACACAAACACCAAAATTTTACCCAACTACTATGTTGATATCATTCAACAGCAGAGTCACTACTACATCCTTACCAGCCAAAACCTGGTAATGGATCACTTCAGGGTTAAAAGGAAATGAGGACTTGAAACTGTTACTTATTCCCTAATACATCAAAGCACTCCTGAATCATTTCCTCTCCACATGGATGTACACACAAATTACCATGAAAATGATCTTTCCAAGTGAAAACTGCATGGTTACACAGCTTAATAGACTGGTTCAAAGAGCAGAGGGGAGTCTAAGACCGCTCAACCCAGAGTAGGTATTCTACGCTTTCATGAATAACAGTCACTTAATGTTCATTCACAGCAAGCAAAATTTAAACAGGTCATTATTCTAATTAGTGCTTTTGATTGAGTCAACTCTACCTCAAATCACCTTTACAGAGGCAGAATTTGCTTACCTAGATACGTGGGAGACCTCTCTAGGTTACACAGATGGGATAGCAATGACAAGTGCAGTTGTCATTGTTGTAACTGCTGGACGAAGAAATCTATATTCAAAAAGCTTCTCTGACCTGGTCTAATGACACAAAAATCCTAACAGAGACTATTTCACGCATACATGTGTCACATTGCTAGGCGTCTGGGAAGAAATAACTCATCTAAAATCTAAAGCCTCTGAGGCATAGGCATGACAATTACTCTGCTTGGCTGCCATGCCTGTGGCCTATCATAGCCAACAAGAACAAGAAAGCTTGAAGCTCAGCAGTTCTCTCCTTCATGGGTACTGGCAGGAGTGCCAAAACTCTCTGACAAGATCACATCTGCCTGAAATCACCTCACTTAATTCAAGTAAATGATTTCCTAGGCTAAAACTTCTAAATTTAGAAATATTTATGTTTCCACAAGTTGAACAAAAAGCACCAAACATTTCAAAAAGGAAATAAAAATGGACTTATATATAAGATGGAAGTCTCTAAAAATCCTTTCTCATGATTCAGTAGGGTTCCCATGTGGCACTAATGGTTCATAAAACACTGGATTTCCTAGACAAATTCAGACTCAAGTGAACTAGACTAAAGGTCCATCTCCTCCAATAACTCCACTGCTTAGGAACAGTTCATGACTGAGAATAAAACACAAAAGACAAATAAAAGCATCACTCATACAATTCTCCTCAGGAGACAAAAAAAATTTAGAAGAATTCAAAGGCTCCTGAATGAAAACATGTGACTCCTGACGTCTTCATAGTCTGTTATAAACCAACAAGTTACAAACAATATACACATTTCTTTGGAAACTTCAAAACTTAGTAGTTAAACATGAGTTACTTTAAACAAAGTTTACAGACAAGAGTGTATGGGTACAGGTGTGGCTCAGCAGTGATTGCTGAGCACATGAGAGACCCTTGGTTTGATGCCCAGCACTGAAAAGCAAAGGTTGGCAAAACATTCACTGGGATTGCTGCTGCATGATTGAAGAGAAAGGATCAAAACGTCCACTTACAGGCAAAGGCACCGACATGACCACATTCCCTCCATAGACAGCAGGTACATAAAGAATACTCGTCCCAGTGTGAGGATCTATTCTCTGAACGGGGCTTGGAGATTTTCCCAAACTTGGGTGTGGTCCAAGAGGGGGTGGAGGAGTATATGCTCTAATAGGATTGCCAATAAGTACAGAAGGATTAGGCTGAACTGCAAAACAAACCAAAAAAAATGACTCAATAGCTGTATACAATGACCTTGACAGAAATGCTCTAATCATACAACAGCAAAAAACACATTTCCCAGGTGAACCATGAAATGCCTCCGCCAAAGAACAAGTGCACAGAATAAAGCACATTAGGAAACCACTGCTCCACAGTGCTCTCAAACATCAGTCGCAACTGTGTGAAGGGTGCAGTGTTAACTTCTGAGAAGCTGCGGGTGGGAGGTTTCAAGACAAGAACCACCAGTGCACAACTCACAGCAGCAACCTCAAGACTGGGAGCAGACAGTTCCTCACAACCAAGTTCTGATTTTCGGTTGTAACATAGTCATATACAAAGTGAAAGTTACTCGAGTATGACAATGGTATTCAAGACTTTCCTAATAAACTTTATCTTGAAATGTGTACGGTACAACATTTATAGGATAAAAATACCTCTGGAAGACTTAATGTTGTGTAGAAGGCTATGTGTGCTTGTAGCTACAATCTGACCACTTTTCAGAAATTAACATGGTGTCATAAAAAAGTAGAAGAGTTTATTCACTGAGACTACAAAGCTCATATTTGTATATGCCTGATAGATGGAGAGGGGGGTAAATGTAAGAGAAGGGAAGGGGAGTGGAGAAACTGATAGATAGAAAGACAGAAAGCTCTTTCCTGTAGCAAATTTTGTTTTTATGAAGAAAGTTCTCCTCACCAATGCCATCATTCTGGAAATGGTCACTCTGTGGATGATGAAGGCCTTTCCCCTGTGAAGATGAAAAACAAATCATGATAACCTATTAGTGTTTTAACACTAGAGAACAGAGCTTCTCCTCAGCATGTGCAAATTAAATATAAATACCCACAGTTAATATCTTAAGGCTATCAGGCTATAATCAGGAACTATGTTGACTATGTCAAGCAGACTTTCTTTAGGTCCACCCCTTCTCACTGCTGTATCTTCACTTTCCTGCTTCAAAGTTCATGACACCTAAAATCCTTTTTGTTTTGTATCTTAAAGATTTATTTTATCAGAGGTGGAGAGAGAGCTCAGCAGTTAAGAGCAGCGGTTGCTCTTTCAGAGTACCTGGGTTCAATTCCCAGCACCCACATGGCAGCTCACAACAATCTGTAACTCTAGTTCCAGGGGACATGACACCTTCACAGCAATGCACATAAAGTTAAATAGATTATTTTGAAAAGATTTTGTCTTACTGTGTGTGTATGGACACACTTGAGCGTTCATGAGCACAGCTGTGGTTACTTAAGCACAGTGGTCAGAAGAGTTTGCAAGATGCCAGACTTCCTACACATGTGCGAGGGTTCAGACTCCAGTCCTCATGACTATGCAGAAAGTTTAACCTTTGAGCCATCATTCTAGTCCCTGTTTTGTACCCCAGGCAAGCCTCAAACTGGCTATGTAGCTAAGGATGACCTAGAACTTCTGATTCTTCTGCCTCCACTGCCTAGGTGCAGGGATTACAGGTGTGGCCACCATGCCAGTTTTATAAGGTTCTAGGGTTGGCTTTGTGCATGCTACACAAGCATTCTTCCATCTGAGCTATATTTCCAGCCCATTAAATTCTCTTTTTAATAATTTTATTTTGGTTTGGTTTGGGTTTTTTTTTTTCAATGTATAAATTCTTTTTTTCCTTTTTTTTAATTTAAATCAGAAATAAGCTTCTTTTACATGTCAATCTCAGTTCCCTTCCCTCTCCTCCGCCCCGTCCCCCACTGACCCCCCTATCCCAACCCCTTTCTGCTCCCCAGTCTGTCATATCATTTGGAGCAGGGTCTAGACCCTCCCCAGTGTGTCTAGGCTGAGAGAGTATCTCTCTGTGTGGAATGGGCTCCCAAAGTTCATTTGTGTACTAGGAGTAAATACTGATCCACTACCAGTGGCCCCATAGATGGTCCAGACCTCCAAACTGACTTCCTCCTTCAGGGGGTCTGGAACAGTCCTGTGCTGGTTTCCCAGCTATCAGTCTGGAGTCCATGAGCAACCCCTTGTTCAGGTCAGCTGTTTCTGTGGGTTCTCCGGCACTAGGAAAATGTCTAGATCTACAAGGGTGATCCCAACCAACAATCTAAGCAATAGTCAAGAGGCTACCTTAAATGCCCTTCTCTGATAATGAGATTGATGACTACCTTATATGCCATCCTAGAGCCTTCATCCAGTAGCTGATGGAAGAGGACGCAGAAACCCACAGCTAAACACTGAGCTGAACTCTGGAATCCAGTTGCAGAGAGGGAGGAGTGATGAACAAAGGGGGCAAGACCAAGTTGGTTTGGTTTTGTTATACAGCCTGGATGGCCTGGAACTTACAACAGAATGGAATGACCACAAACTCACAGTGATCCTCCTGCCTCTCTGCTGGAATTACAATGAAATGTGCAATCAATACAACTATTTCTATCCCATGGTAACATCCCTAAAATTGCTCTAAAAATGAAATGACAAAATATAAAAGTTGTTTTTCAAAAAAAAAAAAAAATCTGTGTTGTACTCATAGGGTGAGAACCATACTAACATGGTTTGATTTTTTTTTCCCCAGAATGATTCATCTGAAGTATTCCATTTTCTCTGAAGACAAGCAAGAGAGACACTGATGATTTTTGAGGGAATTTTAGTTAAATTGCTAGGCGGCAATATGGCAATATAGATCAGAGCATCAAAACGTACAGAGACTTAATACTGCAATTGCACTTCCAGGGATTTATCCTTTGAAATAATCAGTGGCCTGGGCACAGATGTGCAAACAGTGTGATCTATATGTGTGATAAATGCTTAAGATCCAAAGACCCATCATTGGGGGCTTTATTAAATAAGCAATGGCAGAGTCACATGTGATGCATTAGTCAGCCCTTAAATGATCACAAGTCACCAAGGAGATAAGGACATCAGTCCTAAGATCACAAGGAACTGGATTCTGCCAACCACCTGCATCAATATGGAAGCAGATTCTTTCCAGGGCATCTAAGGGCCAACATCCTGGTCCCAGCCTTGAAAACTCAGAACAGAAACAAAAGCAAGCCAATCCCAACTGAACTGACAAATCTGTGTTCTGAGGCCTTCAAGTCAGAAGCACGTGTCCTGGGGAGATTGTTGGGCCCTTCCTCATTTCCTTTCTTTTTTCTTTTTTTATCTTTTCAGTTTTGCTTCCCAACCATGAAGTGGTTGGTTTTTCCACCATGACAAGCAGCATCAGACCCAAAGCAAAGAGACTGACTGGGTGTAGACGAAAACCTCTAAAATTGTGAGACAAAATTAACATCAACCCTTTGTGAGCCAATTATATTAGATATTTGCTACAATGGTATAACAGAGCTTCCTTATTCATTTAAAAATACTTTTTTTCAGATGGGGTATCATGTAGCCCAGGCTAGCCTAAACTTATAATAAGCCAAGAATGGCTCTGAACTCCTGATCCTCTTGCTTCTACCTCTTAAGTACTAGGATATCAGGTCTCAATAATGTTCTCAACAAGAACCCCATGGTGTGTACCTGACTCCATCTCCTGCTTCTGCCATCCTGCTGTCATCTACCCAACATCAGCCACCAAACAACTTGGGGCTAGCTTATTTATCTATGCTTAGAGCATCTAACACATGGCACAGGGAAGGAATTCATTTGTGCAGACCGCTTTGCCCTCTAATAACACCAACTTACAGAAAGCAAAACATAGTATGTTTTTATTAAGCTAAAACATATGACTGTGCATTAGCAGAGTTGCTCTCAGCTTAGTGACTATTTAGCTAAATATTAAGCCATTCATTCCTGTTCACATTAAATACAACAAAGACCAACGCTAACATACTCTTTTTTTCTCCATTTTTTAATTTAAATTAGAAACAAGATTGTTTTACATGTCAATCTCAGTTCCCTCTCCTTCCCCTCCTCCCCTGCCCCCCATAACCCCTATCCCATCCCCATTCTGTTCCCCAGGGAGGGTAAGGCCTTCCATGAGGGATCTTCAGAGTCTGTCACATCATTTGGAGCAGGGCCTAGCTAATCCCTCCCCTGTGTGTCTATGCTGAGAGAGTATCCCTCTATGTGGAATGGGCTCCAAAAGTCCATTCGTACACTAGGGCTAAATACTGATCCACTACCAGAGGCCCCATAGATTGCCCAGGCCTCCTAATTGACACCCACATTCAGGGGGTCTGGATCAGTCCTATGTTGGTCTCCCAGCTATCAATCTGGGGTCCATGAGCTCCCCCTTGTTTAGGTCAGCTGTTTCTGTGGGCTTTACCAGCCTGGTCTTGACCCCTTTGCTCATCACTCCTCCCCCTCTTCAACTGGATTCCAGGAACTCAGTTCACAGTGTTTAGCTGTGGGTGTCTGTTTCTACTTCCATCAGCTGCTGGATGAAGGCTCTAGGACAGCATATAATTTAGTCATCAATCTATCAGGGGAGGGCATTTAAGGTAGCCTCTCCACTGTTGCTTAGATTGTTAGTTGGTATCATCCTTATAGATCTCTGGACATTTCCCTAGTGCCTGATTTCTCTTTAAACCTATAATGGCTCCCTCTATTATGGTTCTTGCTTTCCTCTATTATTCCCGACTCAACCTTCCTGCTCCCTCATGTCCTCCTCTCCCCTCCTCTTCTCCCCTTCTCATTCTCCTAGCTCCCTCTACCCTCTCCGCATGCTCCCAATTTAAATTCGGATCGGTACGTCTAACACCATGCCTCCTGTATGGAGTCAGAAGACTGTAGTGAGTTCACACGTGCCATCCTTAGAATCTCCTTTTCAGGATGCTAACTGCAAGAATGGGGTTGTTGTTGTTGTTGTTGTTGTTGTTGTTGTTTTCATACACTGGAGCAAACGAACCAGCTGTCTTTGCTCAAGATAACTGTGGCTCAGAACTGAAAATGGCCCTGACCTCCCAACACACCTCAGCTCTACCTGCCCCAAACAGGCTGTTTCCAGACTACAGAACCACTTCATCTTCAACAATCTACAAGTTGTCTCAACTCTATCAAATACCACTTGAAATGAAAGGGTCATTAAAGGATTAGAACAATTTTCTTTATTCAAACATTGTTTTAAAACATAATTCCTGTATCTAATAGCCTGTATGGACATGCTTTTGAATGTGTCACTGGGGCTGGCAAGGTGGCTCAGCAGGTGAAGGAATTTGCCAAAAGACAGAACTGGGCCGGGCATTGGTGGCACATGCCTTTAATCCCAGCACTCGGGAGGCAGAGGCAGGCAGATCTCTGTGAGTTCGAGGCCAGCCTGGTCTCCAGAGCGAGTGCCAGGATAGGCTCCAAAGCAACACAGAGAAACCCTATCTTGAAAAACCAAAAAAAGAGACAGAACTGACTCCCCCAAGTTGTCCTCTACCTCCTCATCTATGCATGGCACAAGTGCATGTGCCCACATGTGCACAAACACACACACACACACACACACACACACACACACACAAATTAAATTAATGAATGTTTTTAGATGCTTTAAATAGAAATAAAATGTGTAGTAACCTTTAGCAATGCTTTTATTCGCCTGTTATCTGCCAGCATCAACTGAGAAGAACCATAAGTTCTCCGCTGTCTCCCTTTTGGAGGATGACTACAACATTAAGCACGGCTCCCTACCCTGCCATTTTCTGGGTCGCTGAGATCTTGGGAAAGTTCCTTGCAAATATAAGACTTTAACTTCAGCCCAACATGCCAGTGTAAAGCAGGGCCTTTACCTTGGGTGGTGACTGCTGCTGTCTGCTGCTGTTTCCCGAATGCTGCAGTCGTAAAGCCCGGGGGATAAACTCAGGAGCCAGTGGATTCAACACATATGTCTTCTTGAGTTCTAAAGCCTCTAACTGTGCCTTGATCTGTTCAAATGTGATCCCATGTAGGCTATGATTTTCATGACACAGGGCAATAAATCGCTCCCAAAACTTCCTGCAGAAAAGATTCAGAAATTGGGTCAGTGGGTGAATACAACTAACTAAAGATGCTATCAAATTCTGCCTCCCTCAAGTCCTTAAGGCTAACATTCATATGAGTACAATATAGATAGAATCGTTCTAGCAAATGACAGTCAGCCTAGGAGCATGCTACATACCAAACAGGATCGCAAAAAAAACTTTGGCTCCTCCACAGTATTAGAAATGTGTGTTTGTGGGCCATATAATAAGATTTTCAAAACTGAGGGCAGCTCCATTTATAGAAAACCTGGCCTTCTAGTCTTATACACACACAAATATACACATCTACAGACAGTTACCCTCTGAATAACGACTAGTCAACACCATATTGCATGCATAAAGCAGTGAACAATGTCACGGCTATCCTAATCTGTGGAGATGTCTGCTGTGACAGTCATTTGATGATGATAGCACCCAAAATTGCCTTTATCAGAACTCATTAGTAAGTAACAATTGTATCTATATGCTACATATAGAGAGAGCACAAATTTATATGCATATTTGTATGAACTATAGATTGGCAAGAATTTTGTGTGGGACTAAGGAGATGGCTCAGTTGGCAAAATGCTTGCTGCACAGCATGAAGATTTGAGCTCTGAACTACAACACCCACACATAAACAGCTAGGGTGTAGTACCTATACCCCAGGAGGATCTCACTGAGCCCCAGGTTCAGTGGGAGACTCCCATCTCAGGAAAATACGATGGAATGGTGGAAAAGCACCTGATCCAACTTCAGTTCCTAGCACCCGCATCAGTGGCACACAGGCTCACAACCCCAGCTCCTGGGGCCCTGACTTCTGGCCTCTGTAGGCCCCCACACATATGTGGCACATACAGACAGACACATCAATAAAAACAAATCTAAAACAGTAAGGTGGAGAGTGAAGAAGATACTCTGACATCCACAGACATGCATACACATGCAAGCTTACGCATGAGCGCGCGCGCGCGCGCGCGCACACACACACACACACACACACACACACACACACACACACACACACACACCACAAAAGAACCTAGATATGCTAGATTGCGTAAAACCAATTCAGTCAGAACATAAACTGGAGTCATGAAGGAAATAATCCACATGAGGGTTCTCAAGAACAATCAGATCCTCAAATAGTTTTCTCTTAGAGATGCCTGTCATAAACACAATTTATAATATCAACCAAGCAGTAAGAGCTAAATATATTATATAAGGAACTGGATTTCCTTATTAAATCTGTAAATGTAAATATTAATCCTAATTGCTGGGGTTACAGGTAGTAGCCGCCATGCCTGGCGTAAAGTACACCATTTCAGAAGCATTCTAAACACTAGAAATAAAGACAGAATTTATATTCTAGACCTGACTTATTTTCCTGCTGTCCCGTGGATAGAGCAAAAGACCATGGCTCTGTCCCAGTAGCTGCAATGTGCAGTGGTGCCTGGCATGTTTCTCTTTGGGCTGGCTTCCTCGTGTTCGGCATAAACAGTTTTATTATCATTCCTTATTATGTTTCTCATTAAGTTTCTTATTTCTAAACTTTCAGGGAACAGGGATGCTGGAGAAGGCCTCATGCAGCCTAGTTAAGTAATATGTACTATTTCCTACAAAAGTCTTGGGTTTTTAGCAGGGAGCACATTCTATGATATGTATGTGGAAACCAGAGGACAACTTTGTGACACTGGTTCTCTCCTCCCTTTACATGGGTTTTCTAGGTTTATGTGGCAAAGACTGAGCCATCTTGCTTATCCCCAAAATTCTTAGTTTTAAAGCTAAAAAAATTTTAGGTTTTCTTCTCCATAAAAGCTCTTTTTAAAAACGGGCAGTGGTGGCACACACCTTTAATCCCAGCACTTGGGAGGCAGAGGCAGGTGGATCTATAGGAGTTCAAGACCAGCCTGGTCTACAGAGCAAGTACCAGAAAAGCCAGGGCTACACAGAGAAATCCTGTCTCAAAACTAACAAACAAACAGAGCCTTAAAAGAAAATGACTACAAAATTCATCAAAACTTGGAACTGAGCTTTATTAGACTATATTATATACATGTATGAAACTGTCAAAAATAAATTTAATATTAAAACTAAATTTTTAAGAAATTAAAACAATAAGGGGGGAGGCAGTAAACATCATAAAATTTAAACTTGACCACAGATACACACACACACACACACACACACACACACACACACACACACACACACACACACACACACCCCACCTTGGGCTCTGGCACCAGCTGACCCCTATTCCCAGAACTCTTCAGTTGTAGGTATGCATAGCTCACTTCCAAAGTCACTTGAGTCAGCTTCTTGGGGAGGCTCCTCTGGCCACACCTTTTCTGGTCCTAAAACCACTTCATCTCATCTGTCACCCCTAAAAGCTCCTCATGCTCTTTTATTTTTTTTTGCATTTATTATTTATTTGTTTGTTTGTTTGTTTGTTTGTTTATTAAGCGCAATGCAATGTTCTTATTTAGTTTGTTGTCAGTCTTCCTTTCCTACCCAATAAAGTGTAAGCACCACAGAGACAGACGTCTGTGTTTTGCTCACTGACTATCTCCAGGCTAGGGGAGTGATGAAAACACAGACATGGAGGGTATCTGCTGGCTACTGACTGAATATACAGTCAGACATGTACCATGAACAGCCACTTAATAACAGATCTCTCACTAATACTGGATGTCAGGTAACATTAAGCCAGATTTCAGTTCACCATGAAGTCATACAGATAAATACATGCATAAGGATGTAAATTAGTCCATATTTCCCGATTAAAGTCTCTCTCAGTTCAGTGACAGACTTACCTACACCTTCCAACAGAGCACAGAGCAATGGGGTCTCCCACCACAGCAACCAGGGACTGTGCTCTTGTGATGGCAGTATTGAGAAGTTTGTAGTTAGATAAAAAACCATAATCCAAGTCCTCAGTAGAGTCTTCCAAAAGTTGCTCTTTCTTTTTAATTGGTGTCTGCTTATGCTTGCAAGTGTGCCTTGTACGCACTGTGCTAAGAAATAGAACTCTGAATTGCTTTCCTACAAAAAAAAAGAAAGAAAGAAAGAAAACAGGCGAGATCATCACTCTGAATCACTGATAGAATGAACCTTACATCTTTAAAATCTTAATTGCTAAACCACAAGTGCACCTGATGCACAGCTGTAAAAAGTATGCAGCTGCCCTGGGATACTGTGTCAGGTCCTCAAAAATGAAACAGAGTGACCATCTGATTCAGCAAGTCCACTTCAAAGAAAACCCACCAAACTGAAAGCAAGGCCTCCATGAGGACTTTGTACCTACGCTCACTGATGCCTTGCTCATGATTCCAGAATGTGTGTCCCAGTGTCCACAGACACACCAGTGTAATTACACACAATGAGACACTAAGTTGATTTATACCACACTATGCATGAACCTCAAAGGCACTGTGTTAAGTGAATCAGGACAGATATAATTTGAGGGGGAGGAACCCTAAATTAGACCACTGTGAAATCTGAAATATGTCAGACCCCAAGCACTTTGGGTAAGAGCAACTCAAGCTGTACTATCTAAATCTAATTAGAAGAGGCCCTAAAGTAGTGAAATTCACACAGAGAAAGAAGAATAGAATAGTGTTCAGCAAGGGCTGGGGCAGAAGAATGGGAGGTAGTATTTAATGGGCCCAGAGTCTCAGTGCAGGAAGGTGGACAGTTCTAATGATAAACAGTGGCATGGTCGCTATGGTGATGTACCACAGGAATGAACACATCGCTTGCCACCCAACTGCTCACATAGACATTGTACTACACACACACACACACACACACACACACACACACACACACACAAAGTTATTATGATATTGTTTAGATTTTGAAAAAGGACCTTGCTAAAATGCCAAGGTTGGCCCTTAATCTACTCTCTGGTCCAGGCTGCCCTGAAATTCCTGGTGATCCTCCTGCCTCAGCTTTCTTAATGCTCAGATCACAGGTATGTATCACCATGCCTAGCTTAATTTTGTTTCCTACTTGTTATTGCTAGAATAATCTTTGAGATTATCTAGCCCAACATTCGCCCTACACAAGAAGCCTCTTCCCGGAAGCAGGGTAATTTAATCCTACCAGACAGAGCAGACACGGCTGATTGTGCAAAGAAGCCTGACGGAGTCTGCTTTGTAGCATTTGTTTCTTATAGTAATCTAACATCTCTCCTTCTAAGGCAAGGAAGGGTTCAAATATTTGACAACAGTATTACCATCAATCTTCAGTTTTCTCCTCTCTAACCCCCATCTTCATCTGTTCCTTGCCCATGTGGGTACAGAGTAGAGCATCAGCTGACCGACATTTACTCTTCGAACATTTGTATTCATCACTAAAACACCCAGTCCAGTGTGACCTGAACGGGGGTAAAAGGGAGTCGCCTGCTCCCCATGACCCAGACACCGGATTACTCTTCCTGCTGCCTCAAGTACCTGACACCCCTGGCTTTCTCTAGTGTTCACATCATCATACAGCTCCATATATTTAAAGGTACAAAGTTTATAACTCATTTCATGAACAACAAAAACAAATTTGCTGGTAACCAGTCGCTTAAAGAAGTCTACAAGTAAAATATTTCAATGTAATCCACAAATACAGTACAACAGCATGTATTAGATTATATATTGTTTTATACACACACACACACACACACACACACACACACACACACCTCCATGGCATTACATAACTGTGGTGATAGAAAAATTTGTTATTACTATCTTTATTTGGTATTGCAATTTTAATAAACATGTAAATTTAGTATTGAAGAGCTTGACAAGAAATGAAGATAGCATTGCGGGCCCAAAAAAGTATGGAGGCTTCTTTTTTCTTTTCTCTTTCTGTTAGATTTCTTAAAGATCTACGACTATTTAAGATAATTAAAAAATGCAATCCAGACACACTTTAAGACATTTGAATACTTTGGATAATTAATTCCAATTAGTCCTTACCTTGAACGTTTAGCACCCTTTCTACGTTCACATCAGAGAGCCTCTTTTTCCGGAGCTCAGCACGTATCCGAAACACCTGGTCAGCATACGGCGTCACCACACCAATACTGCCATCGTCTAACTTCCCCCATGCTACCGGCCACTTCCTTCTTAGCTCTTCCACACGCTCCACCACTTCAAATACCTTTAAACAAACATGTATTAAAATTACCACTGCTGTTTGGGCAAAGAACATGGTAACTGAAGCAGACTGATACAGGGGTTGCATTTTAGCAAATGCCACTTAAAAACCAACCTACAAATGGGAGTAGTGTGTTCCTGACATGAACATAGGAAGCAAGGTAACATTGTATTCACATTCCAAACAGTAAAATCCTATAATAATGTGACTAGTGGAAACACTGAAACCAAGACAATGTGCTGGGCGAGTGGCCACATCTTCCATATCCCCCATTCTTTAAGTAAAAAAGGACTGGAGTGTCACAGAAAAACAGGGTAGAATCATGAACAGAGGAAAAGCAGGGAAGCAAGTCCACACCACCCCGGTGCTGCTCAGTCCACTCTAGAGGAAGCCAAGAAAGGACTAATATATAACCAAGTAGACTATTCAACAGCTGTTAGGTGACACAAACCTCAGCTGGGACTGAGGTTCCCTACTTGTGGTATAAGTTCAGCCTAGCCATTGCATGTACTTTTCTATAGATTTTATACAGCAAGTTGTTTAGACCCTACTTGCTGGGTTATACAGGTTTTTAGTATAGTTTATCTACTTACTTTACCTCAATGAATTGATCAAAAAATTCCAGGGTTTGGCACAGGTTAATAAAACACACTGCTTAACTCCTAAGAGATTATTACTTATAAAACAACCCTTTCTGTCTGTTTATCTACCTACACACCTATTTACTTACCTACCGTCTGTCTATCTATCATGTCTTCCTATCATCCATCTATCTATCTATCTATCTATCTATCTATCTATCTATCTATCATGTCTTTCTATCATGTCTTTCTATAATCTATCTATCTTTATGGTCAATCCAAGAATCAGAAAAGACTAGTGTCATACAGCTGAAGTGGACATTTTAAATGATATCTTTTAACTACAGTGTATTTACTAACAATTTCTATTTGAAATTACAATGCCTACTGCAATAAGGGATATGAAAAGCATGTCTTTGCCTGTGCAGACAGATGGGGGGCAAATGAAACACAAGAGACACTCTACTGCAAAACCCCAACAGTTTCTACCATGGACCTAACCACTGTCCTAACCTATCCTTCCGTCCACATTCTTACATTTTAAGTAGCATAAAATGGTATCAAATATAAATGGCCTCCCAACAGATCTGTAGATGAGTCAAACTTAGCAAAGACACTGGAGATTGATGAAAGAGCATACAAGCAAGAGAGAAACGCTGTTTAACGAAACCTGCAGCCACTCAGTAAGAACAGTGAGGACTGCTTCCGGAACTGCTTCCGCAGCCAATTTCCATCTCCTTCAGATCCGTGTGTTAAAGAAGCTATTGCAGGTGATTTTAGCAAACGGCAAACATTGGCAGACTCGATTTTCCACAGGTCGCTACTGCAACAGGCCTGTATTAAGCAGCTGGCAGCAGCTGGAGAGAGCTGAGGAAGACCACAGCAATAGAGTGCAGTCCTTCTCAGGGCAAAAATCCTATCCTAGGGGCTGGAGAGATGGCTCAGAGGTTAAAAGCACTGGCTGCTCTTCCAAAGGTCCTGAGTTCAATTCCCAGCAACCACATGATGGCTCACAACCATCCAAAATGCGATCTGGTGCCCTCTTCTGGTCTGCAGGGCCACAGGCAGACAGAACACTGTATACATAATAAATAAATAAATCTTAAAAAAAAAAAAATCCTATCCTATATACATTCAGCAGCCAGTAACCATCAGTAGACTCTAACTTCCCTTGCTCGACATGCAGAAGATCCTTACTGGGCTGGAGAGCTGGCTCAGCAGTTAACAGTACTTTCTGGTCTTCCAGAGGACCTGTGTATGGTTCCAAGCACTCACACTGGGCAGCTGACAAACACTTGTATGTAACTCTAGCTACTGGGGATTGAAAATCCCTTCTGGTCTCTGAAGGCATTTGTAGTCACATATATATACCCACACTGACAACTTGATTTTTAAAAAATAAGTTTTTTAAAAAGCCTCACAAACTGACAACACTGCCAAGAAACTCAACTTCAGCTAGATTACAATTCATGCTCCAAACAATTAAAAGTAAGATAACTGACATGAAAAGGATTCACCAGATCTGTGCTGACAGAAGGACTCAGCAAACGAAAAGATAAGTCAGAGAAGACAACCCAAAGTGAGAAAAAATGAAGAAAAATTAGCAAAAGGACACCATTAAGCTCCAACATGTGTCTAGTATTAGAGAAAATCAGATGGAAACATACATTAAACATTAAACATATTCAAAGAAAACCAGGCTAGGTGTGGTAGCACATGCCTTTAATCCCAACACTCAGGAGGCAGATGATAAAAATGTTCAAGGCAATGATGGCTAAAATGTCCATAGCTGATGAAAACACACATAAATACAATGAACATCAAGAAAGATAAACACACCCCAAGGTACACCAAGATGTGCACCCAGACATATCACAGTTAAAAGGCTCAAAATCAAAGACAAAAATGAAACAGGAATAGAAATTTTCATTTCTTGAGAACAGGAAATGAAAAACAACCATATTTACAAAGGGACCCTAAAGATAAACAATCAGAGAGAGGAGGGGAATTCAGTATGGTGGTGGTGGGGATTGACCAATAATCTTACATCCATCAAAGCTTTCAAAACTGAGGAAAAATAAAGACATCTACAGATAAACAAACCTAAGAGAATTCCCTACTACCTAGAGTAACTGACCAGAAATACTAAAGAACATTCTTCGGTCTAAAACCAAAACAGCAATGCAAATCCACAGAGTACTGACATAACACATAGACCCTGACAAAAGGCAGAAAGAACACAGCTGTTTCTTTTCCTTCCTCCTCTCAACTGATTTAAAGAGCCAACTGTATATAATAATGTCAAGCTACAACATATAGAATACACTATGTGTATTGTGTTGACAGTAAGCACACAAGAGGCAATGAAAACTTATGACAGTCACACAAACCAGGCCTAGAGGTGAAGCGATCACCAACACTCAATGGGAACTGTAATATAGAGCTAGGCAGGAAATGTAGCTCAGTGGTGGAACACATACCTAGATACTCAACGCTGTGGATCTCACACAAAGGGGGAATTAATCTCTCTTTCCCTTTTCTTCTCTTGGAATTGTACACACACACACACACACACACACACACACACACACACACTTTAAGGAGGTATCTTTCAAATTATTAAATACTGACACAGTATTATAAGAATGAAAGCTGAAAGGGGAAGGGTTGATGCAGAGTTATATAGGAATTTCTCCATATCCCTGAAATTTAGATAGATAGATTAGAAATAAAGTCTGATTACAAACATACTATTGGCCATAGAGATACCATTAAACAACTAAATATAAAATACATGTAAGTTTGTATGTTATAATTTAAATGAAATTTTCTCATCTGGGCTGACAATGATCCCCACAAGAGCCATCATAGACTATGTAATAAAACAGCAGCACTAGGTATGAGAAGCACTCTTTTGAGTTAGTGTTCAAAGTTGTCTAAGCGACTCCTAATACAATATACAGGCTACAGCTGTGACACACACACACACACACACACACACACACACACACACACACACACACACACACACACCTGCCAGAGGTGGAAGATAAACTCTACTGCTTAAGACACCATGAACTTTGGACACAGGCCCAGAGGACAAAGCTGGATCAGACATGAAATCTCCCTCCCTGAGGACTAACTTTCATGGCACAAGAAGGCACCATGGAGGCTCGCAAAGAAAGAAAGCAACCAATGGTCCTATCCAGTTATGAGCCCTAACAACCGGCATGGTATGCTAACCTAAGTACTGGCACACATGCCTTGGCAGTAACCAACAACTCCAAGATTGGAGTTAAGGCTGACTCAACAAGAGAGAAATCATTCCTGGTACTGAAAACCTAGCCTTCTACCCAGGGCTAGTAAAGCCATGGATCATAAAGGAGAACCTACGATCACCACACCAATCTAGCATAATCCTTAGTTACATTGGAATATTTATCCTTATATCTACAGATTATGTGTAATCCTCACCCCTAGACCAAGGAAATTTCTCACCATTACAGAAAACCACAGATGATCAAACTGTAGAGTTCCAGCTGATACTTATCTACCCTGAGGCTCTGGAATTATTTCCAAAGAGCTGTGGAAAGACTCTAAGAACTAGAGTCACTGGAAGTTTGCTGTGATACTTTGTCTCCTAGAAACATCAGAGAAGCTAACCCATGAAGTCTGACTAACATGATTGCCTAAACATGGCTTGAGCAAGGATAACACCAATAGACAGCTAACATGGATGGGGAAGTTCATTAGGCCTTAATCCTAGACAAAGAACTACAGGCAACCAAGGAATGCCGAGAGCAAGAGAAACGGTCTTCCCCAGGAAAAGCACATCAGTCAGTTACCCAGTTTCAAGCAGTCAGGCCTGAAAACATACATGCAACATTATACAGACTAAGCAGCTTGTATTCATATATCTAGGAATTTAGGAGGAACTGTGTGTGTGTGTGTGTGTGTGTGTGTGTGTGTGTGTGTGTGTGTGTAAAACAATTAAGAAAAAGAACATGAATTTCAAAGAGAGTGAGGGGATATATGGAGGAGTTGGAAGGAGGAAAGAGAAGGGGAAATGATATAATTAATAATCTCAAAACTAAAAGTTGTAATTAAAAATGATAGTAAAATAAGCAAATACATTAAAAAAACAAATACATGCATGTATATACAAATAAAATAATTAAAGAAAGGCCAAGTGTGGTGGTGCATGATTTTAATCCCAGCACTTGCAAGGCAAAGGCAGAAAGATCTCGATGACTTCAAGGCCAGCCAGGGCTACACAGTGAGACCCTGTCTTGAAACAAACAAACTCTACCCTGTAATGCAGGGTTTGTGAATATGATAAAAATATATTAATGTATATGAAATTAATATCATTAATTTTCTAATTAATAAATGCTCTACTTTTTTTTTTTCCCTTGGAACTCAGCTGCAGCAAACTAGAACCTGGTTTTTGGTCCATGGAAGAGACTCTGGGCAATGAACCTCAAATTTTTTTGACAGCAGTAATTAATTCAACTGAACAGCCATGCTCTGGGTAAGTTCAAAGTCGCTTGAAATTTCTCTAATGTTACATGTTTGATATTTAAAGGTAGCACAAATGTTGTCTTTGCAATTTTACAATATAAAAAGAACCACCACCACCACCACCACCACCACCACCACCCACCACCCCCCACCCCCGCCTCAAAAGAACTTTTCCCAAAATACTTGGAGTAAAAGTGACAGTCCAGTAAAGTTGTGCTGTACACATCCTACAGCTTGAAGACCACCTGAAAACATGCCATGAAGGAACAAGAGCCCAGTGCTTGGCTGTGATCCCTGGTGCCACATGATGAGGACCCAGAACCTTCTGAACTTTAGGCCCTACTTGTTACTCTGTCAGTCACCCACCTTCTACCAAGACCAACTTCCAGGCCAATGACTTTGAGCCTGAGTGCGAAAGCAACAAAGGAGAGCTGTACAGCTACCTTCAGTTTTGCTATATTTAAAGAAGTTTACCTGTTCCTAAATTTAAATGGCATAGACTAATGAAAATGCCAGGTTTCTTGGGTTGGGGCTAGGGTTTGAGCAAGTGGCACCAACAGTTTTCTTGCACTAAATTCTAACTACAACCCTCTAATCAATTTTTAAAAGTTCATATGAGGTCCTGTTATGTAACACAAACTGTTTCTGTGTAAATACAATGAACAGAGACTAGAAATGAAACACATACCACACTTCCTTCACCTTCCTGTGACAACAGGACCTTAACTACAGGCTTCCTAGCCTATTACTCCCTTTATAAAGGCTTCCTTGTGAGTTTGCCTACTGCCTGACCTGACCCTCAGGACACCCATTCTCTCTGGAAAGCAGAAACTGGAAGAGAGAATTACAAAGCCCCTGATGAAACAGTGACGCCAGTGTTGAAGCCTGTGTGGTCTCTCAGAAGCACAGGATTCTGCAATTCAACTCTTCCTCATTCAAAATGATGTCTCCTTTGAATATGAGCTAGAAATTCAATCAGTCTGTTTTAGATGTGAGCCAATAATGCTCTATGTCAGTATATGTTGGCTTTTCCTCACAAAGTTGTGCTTTCTGTTTTAACATTATTACAAAAAGAAAATCAAACTTTTCCCCTCCTGTAGATTCATCATAATAAATAAATGTAAAATTTGCTCTATTTTCTTGTAAAAGAAATCAACACACTATAAACTATCAACCCTGAATTCTAAATAAATGTTCAAGAGAATCAGACCAAGAAAACATTAAAGTCAGTATGAAGCACTAAGATACCTCTGCATTGTTATAAAAGGCGGTGCTATTTTTTTCTTGTACATCTTCCCCTCGTGCTGTGAAAAACGTGAGTGGGTAGAAGTCCTTGTGTGCTGGCTGCTTTCCACTGGCCATCAGTTTACCCTCATAGAAAAGCTCAGAGGTATAGCTGCAGAGGAAGAACAGAACAAAGGAAGCTATCAGCCAACTTAATTTCACCTGCACAAAAACCCGATGACTTCTAATACTAATTTATGCTTGCAATTAATTTTTGTCCAAACACTGAATACTCATGATGCCAATAATTTCCCAGAAATAATGACAGTGGTAACAGAGCAGGTTCCTATGACACCATTGCTAATGCATTGATTTTGTAAGAAATGAAGGCAGAGCACAAGAGAAACAATGCACAGTCACTACAGCTGAGACCTCTGTTCTTCGAGAAAATTTCCTGAGCTGTTTTCTTAGTTAACAATGTAATCCCACTCATTCGGATCACACACTGCCATGCGTCACCTAACAACCCTTCGGTCAACAATGGACCCCATGGCCTAGACCATAATTGAAAGTCTCCTAGCACATCCACAACACAGCACCAAGAGGTCCCCGCCTCTGCGGTGATGCTGGTGAAGACACACAAAGGACATTGATGCACAGTGTGTCCTATTCCAAATGACTACACCATTGCTTTACGAATTTACTGAGTTTTGCTATTTCAGAGTGTATCCTTCCACCTTCCAATGTTTGAGTGCTGGAGAGATGGCTCAGGGATGAAGAACATTGGCTGCTATTCTAGAGGTCCTGAGTTCAATTCCTAGCAACCATATGGTTGCTCACAACCATCTATAATAGGATATGATACCCTCTTCTGGCATGCAGGCATACATACAGAGCATTCATACATTAAAAAAATACATAAATAAAAACGTGTCTATAAAGCTGTCTGTTCAGCGGCCTCATTCATCTCATGTTTACCAGGACACAGGAGACTAATTATACTGTTTAGGTCTGTGAAAAGCCTTCTATGATGTTCACAAAATGGCAAAATGCAGTTCCCAGACTGCATCCTATGATGCAAACACAAAAATACATACTTGGATACCATGCAGTCTCCAACTGTAAAGTGAACACACCTCGCTGAAAAACACACTGTCTAGTGTGAAACTCATCATTGACTGCAAATGGATGGCAACCATGACAAAAAATTACAGTGTGAGATGATGACTGGACACCATCTATGCAACTGCTTCCAGAGAGACCTAAGGTTTCCACAGGCATGACAGAACAGATATTACTAAATTATGGGAAGCTTTTGCAGAGTTGGTTTCTGGTGTGGGTGTTGACTGGAAAAGAGAACTTGGAGATTTGAGTTGGCCATGCTCTGCTCCTTCAACTGGATGCTGACCATAACTCAGTCACCCAGGTGTCACATAAGGGAGGACTCTTTAAACCATGTATACAGTATTTAAAAGGAGTCAGGTGTCAGGGTTTTTCTCCTTTCACTTAAAATAGATAATGTAGGCATTTTCATAGAGATTATGTATTAATTTGTAGAAAAAGTTATCATGACCAGTAAAACTTGGAGTTTTAGTACTCAAACTGCATTATTTCTTATGAAGAATCACAGCTCTGGATTTTGAGGTATTCTTTTAAAAACACAAAGTTAGGGACAGTCTGTAACACTCAGAGACCACAAATAATCCACCTAAAGTCACCTGTGCCTGGCCATGTGTGCGCTGGCCGGCTTCCCTCCCACAGCCCACAGGCAGCGAGGCAGAGGGGACAGCTAACACTTACTTGATGATAGCCTCATGGGAGCGGTAGTTCTCACAGAGGAGGATCCGACATGGGAACTCGGCAGGGTAATGCTCGTAGAGTCGATCAAGTAAGGAAACATGAAGGTTTCTCTCCCTGGCAAACTCGCTGTAAACAAAAGGACTGAGCTGTAACAGACAAACAAATACAAAGAAAATTTAACCAGATAGATAATTAGTGTTTTTGAATCTGTGTATACAGTCTTCTACATTAAAATTTCTTAGGTATTTAAAATGCTGAATGCTGGAGAAAAACCCCAGACCCCACACCCCCCACACCCCCCACCCACACACACACG